GCCGAGCTCAGCGACGAGGCCGGCACGCACACCAGCCCGTGCAGCTCGGCGTCCGTCAGGAAGACGGTCGGCACCTGCGGCGGCGGTAGCGTCAGCTGACGCCCAGACCCCCCCCCCCCCCCCGCTCCTCGCCGGGAGAGGGGAGGGCAGGAGGTTTGCAGACTCACAGAGGATGCTCGCTAGTTGCGAGATAAGGAACAGCCGTTCGATGCTTTACTGGTGGGAGGGATGCAGCTCACATGATCGTGTTATGTTATCGAGATGAAATGAGAAAGCGGGCCTCAAAACATTATTCATGTAAGTCCAGGACTTCAGGTCCGTTCCAAACATGTATTTCAGATCCAAGTCAACATGAGCCGTCCTCATCCACACCAAATAGCGTGGTTCATAGCCAGTAAAAGCACACAATACATCCCGACCTGAACAGGAAACATGGTAGACCTTTTATATTAAAAGTTGTATTGGCTTTGTCTCGTCTCGTGTTGTCTCGTCCAGCCTCGTATCGTACCGCCTCGTTTCATCACGTCTTATCACGTCTCGTCGCGTCTCGTCTCGTCTCGCATCGCTTCATCCCGTCTCATCCCGTCTCATCCTGTCTTAACCCGCCTCGTCCCGTCTCATCTCGTTTCATCCCGTCTCATCCCGTCCCGTCTCGTCACGTCTCATCGCGTCTCATCGCGCCTCATCCCGTCTCGTCTCGTCTCATCCCGTCTCATCCTGTCTCGTCTCGCCTCACCCCATCTCATCTCGTTTCATCCCGTCTCATCCCGTCCCGTCTCGTCTCGCCTCATCCCGTCTCATCCCGTTTCGTCTCGCCTCATCCCGTCTCGTCTCGTTTCGTCCCATCCCGTCTCGCCTCGCCTGACCTGGCCAGATTGGATTTTGCGGGCGGGCACGAACTGGTGACGTCGGCCAATAGGCGGCCTCTGCGCCTGCGCGGGGAAGCCTCTGTAGTAGGGGTTCCTGGGCTGAGGCAGCGGCTGAAAACACGCCCGGATCACAAGGCTGCACATCCGGTGATCTTAACGACCAGCGTACTAGAAATGCACGGTCGATACTTAAATCCTGCGTACCGCATTTAATTTTCTACCTTAGAAACGTCTGAAAGTGCATACCTTACACATGACTCGCGGAAAGGTGAACCAAATTGTTATGATGAATATAAATAATATCATACAACATAAATAACAACTCATGAAAAATTTTCAGGCACATCGTTGAATGACGGCTACCCAGAAAAAGCAAGAGGCAAATTATGATGGCGCAGAAAATAGACGCAATGGAGAACAAACCAATGTTGGATTTCGCGCTTTCAGAATCAACCCTGAGTCTCACCGGCAGCGCATGGCTAACATCAGCCTCCCGTCTCTAACTCATGGCAACATAGCGCCATTTGGGCGTTTTCCGATTCTAACTTATATTGGTGTGGACTGATTCCGCAATTATTTCCAATCGAGCGTACTCCAGTGGCAACAGCTTGCGAGATAAGCCAGGGAAGACTGAGAGATATCAGTAAGACAATGCAGTTTAATGTCCGCATATATTTTTGAGCCGACTTATATCTGACGACGTTAGTCCCAAGGCTGCCAAGAAATCGTTTCTCTGCCTTTCCCAGGAATGATTCCATCCCCAGTATGCGACTCCGATGCCTGCGTATTTTCCAAGTTGTTCATTCCCCTTGATACAACGAAGAATCGGCTGATTCCATCTCACATCCGCAGTTAAGCCAAACTACGCTAAAGGGAAGATGCATTGTGCCTTACAACGATAATTACCGCATGCTGACGGAAGGACTGCTCAGTGTACGATATGAGCTGCAGTCAGTACTGATTTCCAGTCTGAGCATCTCTCGCCAGATGGAGGGGTCGCGCGCGGACTGGCACCACTCCAGTCCAGTCAGCAGTCTGTACCTGCAGTCGCGGCCGATTGACCGGGTACTCGGACCAGGCAGTCCTTGCCATCGAGGGCATGCGCCCGTCGCCCCAGCTGCTGTCGCCAAGTTCCTGCAGCACAACATGCAGCGATGCCACGGCACCCACTCATCGATAGCCGCAGCTCCGGACACTCCTGGGGGTTGCAGGGACGTGGGCGCAACAAGGGGTGCTCTCACGCTGGAAGCAGCGGGTTGAGGGTTGAGAAGCACGACTAGTTCCAGTACAGTGACCATGGAGGACGTGGCGACACCCGCAACACATGACAGTATGCCAACGGGTATACGAGAATATCGGAACAGATGAGCCTCTTCTGCCTGCTTCTTTACACACCTATGTCGGGAGACCCAGCCCTACCGTGTCGGGAGACCCGGCCCTGCCGTGTCGGGAGACCCAGCCCTACAGTGTCGAGAGATCCAGTCCTAGAGTGTCGAGAGACCTAGCCCTGCCGTGTCGGGAGACCCGGTCCTCTGTCGAGAGACCCGGCCGTCTCATATTGGAAGACCCTGCTCTACCGTGTCGGGAGACCCAGCCCTACCCTGTCGGGAGACCTGGCCCTGCCGTGTCGGGGGGCCTGGTCTTACCGTGTCGGGAGACCCGGTCCTCTGTCGGGAGACCCGGCCCTCTCGTGCTTGGAGACCCGGTCCTCTGTCTGGAGACCCGGCCCTCTCGTATTGGGAGACCCGGCCCTACTGTGTCGAGAGACCCAGCCCTGCCGTGTCGGATGACCCTGCCCTACCGTGCCGAAGGACCCGGCCCTCCGGTGGCGGGAGACCCGGCCCTACCGTGTCGAGAGACCCGGCCCTCCGGTGGCGGGAGACCCGGCTAGTCCGGCACGCCCGCCCGCCGGCCCGACTCACTCGGAAGATGTTGGAGAAGCCCCGCAGCGGTGCGGCGAACCTCGCCGACGGCGGCTGAAACGGCTTGAAGTTGTGGTTGCGCCGGTTGAAGGCGGACCAGCGCCTCGAGAAGGGCGCGCCGGTAGCCAGCGCCCCCAGCTGCAGCACCAGCGTCAGCAGCAGCACCCAGCGCAGCGGCATGGCCAGCTCTGCCGGCCGGGGGACAGGTGACATCACGCGTTCGAGTGACGTCACTCTTTAGAGTTACGTCACGCTTCAGGCGGGCGGCGACGGATACGCCGGATGGGGGTTCGGACGGTAGTTGAGCTGCGCCGATAAAGGCATTCAGGAACCACTCAAACGTGTTGACCTTTCGCGGACGAACTTATCTTATCTTGCATGTCGCTTTTCTGCCAGCGGAAACAGTACCGGCAAACTGTGATCGCTGGCATTCTCACACAGTTTGTTTGAAGTCGCATTTGAAATTTCATCAACGTGACTTCTTCGCAAGAGAGCATGGGCCCTCGGTTCAAGCCTACATGAGCTGAGCTGATCGCCTTAGGTCGGTCTGGGGTCCCGGGGTCCGGGTCAGTCCGGGGTCCGGGAGGTCCGGGGTTCCGGAGGTCCGGGGTCCGGGAGGTCCGGGGTCCGGGAGGTCCGGAGTCCGAGTGCATTAGCGAGGAACACTTTTCGCATAGACAAGACAGTAGTATAAGCCTTATTCATCTGAGAAAAACCAGGATAATGGAGACATAGCTGGGTTGATATTTCGGCAACATGCTTTTATCAAAACAAAAGTAGAAGTGTCGCCGTCGCTGATGATGGCCAGTGTCCTCCTGCTATTATTTCGATAAAGGTATGTTGCCGAAATAACAACCCAACTATATCTCCATCGGCCTGGTTTTTCTCCGAAGAATAAGACTAATACTACTGTCTTATCTATGCCAGCTTTGAAGCAAATTATTTTTATACGTCACCGTAGGATTCATCTGAAATATAGCGAAGAAGTATGTGTGGGGGGGGGGGGGGGAGGAGGAGGATGCCACGATGCCTTCCTCCCCACATTCCTACGCCGATGATGGCCAGTGACATCGGTGACGGCCTGCAGTTGACGCGTCGCCACGAAGCTTGTTTGCCTATTCACCTGAAGCCGTGTGACTGTCCCAGGACGGTTCTCTGGTTAACGCTTCACCAATCGGCAGTTATAATCTGTGCCATGGGGAGGCACCGCGGCCACCCAAATTACGGTTTTGGTGAAACGGTGTACTGTAGATGGGGTTGGTGATTTTACTACTTTTTTATTGGGTAAGGCAACGTGACAAACGTCACCGAGCACCTTTATATGGAGCATCAGCGGCTGCAGTGGCCATACTAGCGCCCAGAAGCCGGCCACCGGAATGCGAACCCGCGCTCCTTGTTGGGAGCCGAATGTGCCTGAATGGATGTGTAATGAATGTGATGTACTATGAACGCAATGTGTAATGTAATAATGGGTGGTTACCCAGTCATTGTGCCACCTAGCGAGACCTGGTACTAGTAGCTGTAACAGTACGTAGTAGCATTGCTAACACGAAAGACTGCAGTATCGGCGGTGGGACCGGTGGGATATCCCAGAGCCTAGATGTCCGAGGACCGTGTCAAACCTGACGGCGCCAGAGCGCGGGCCGCGCGAGCCAAGGTGCGGATCGGGCCGCGATTGGACTGACTCGGACCCCGGACCTCCCGGACCCTGGGATCTCCCGGACCCCGGACCTCCCGGACCCCGGACCTCCCGGACCCCGGACTGATCCGGACCCCGGACTGACCCGGACCCCGGACTGACTCGGACCCCGGACCTCCCGAACCCCGGACTGACCCGGACCCTGGACCTCCCGGACCCCGGACTAACCTGGACCCCGGACCTCCCGGACCCCGGACTGACTCGGACCCCGGACATCCCGGACCCCGGACTGACCCGGACCTGGGACCTTCCGGACCTTGGACTGACCCGGACCTCGGACCTCCCAGACCCTGGTCTGATCCGGACCCCGGACCTTCCGGCCATTCGGGTAGCCTTTTATCAGTGAGTAGTATGTAGCCATTCATCAACCAAAAGTGGCGAGTCGTCGGTGTGTATCTTCAAGTGCGATTGTGGCGACCGTGAAGAAACGGTTTTCGAGCGAGTTCAAACGTTATCTGTCGCCGGGAACTACCAGAGTAAGCCAGTTCCGAGAATGCCGGTAAGAGGACACTGGGCACAATGTGAACAGAGACCGTTTGGAACGTCCAAGAAATGTCCAAAACGCTGGTGCTACGCTTAAGGTTGACTCTGTTTTAGAGATGGACTTCAAGCACCTCCTCTGCCAACAGTGCAGCAAGCTTGTGGTGTTTCGAACATCTCACTGTGGCCGATTGCGTGTCTTGACCCGAAGCGACTATCTCATCGCATTCAGGTCAAGCGCACCCTTACTGAGAGAGACAGACACAAGCGGATGCAGATGTGTGACTGGTTCGCGAAAATCGCTGCCGGTCGCATAGACTTTATCGAGAACATCTGATCTCCAGATGAAAAAATTATTTCATGGACACATCAGCCGGAAGCATTGGTTTCTGTGCATCAGCGCCTCCACCAAGGGAAGTCTGAGTGGCCTTCGCACAGAGAAAAAGGCATAGTACGTATGGCCATGATCAGCCAGGAAGTGATGAGGCCGAATTGTTTTGAAGATGATAGAAGGACGAGCATTGTGAACACTGATCGTTACTGTCAGGTCCTTTAGAAAAGTTGGAGGAACTGGCAGGAAGAAAGCATGAGGAATGAGAAAGAAAGCATAAGGAATGCATGAAAAGGGCAGCAGTGACTTCAACAGTACCGTGCTACTTCACACTTCTAAGAAATTTAGAGTTGTTTCTAGGCACAATTCGGAATTCCCATTACGTACCGAACACAACACTATTAGAAAGCTCACCCTCCTGGGCTATTTCTTGGCGGATACCTGAGGAGTAACGTGTTTAAGGACAGTCCCAGGCCAGCTCAGGAGCTGAATGACGTCATTAAGTCCGTTGCATGAGCAATCTTTGAGCCGACGTGCGCGGCAGCCATGAGATATTTTGCGAAAGCGCCTGGCAACCTGTTGATGCACCATGGGAAAGCAGATCTGCGCTCAAACCCAGCAGCAGCACAAATATACCGCTAGTTATCTTATTTTTGCATGAACACAAGCTGAAATCTGTCCCATAGGCGTACAGAGCTCCCTTGAAATGGCCAAAGGTCTTGGAAAACCCAGACATTTATTTGCAGAACCTTTTTGGAATCACTCGCTATGATCTCGGACAGTTTCATTCAGGGCTCGTAAAGAGCCATCGAACCTCTCCGAGGCTGTTGCTAACCAGCCATCGAACGGCGACAGGCAACGTCAAAACACCGAACCTCCGAGTCCCTTGCGCACTCTGCTAGCCGGGTTGGTTGTGTCAGGTAGCGGCAACCGAGCCCGTTTCCTGCTGGGGGTCACGCCCCCACAGGACAGGACACGTGACGGTCACTGTTCGGTCGTTCTTTAGCGTTCACTGGATCTGTTGCGCTTTTGGGCGGTTGATGTGGCGGCCTCTCACATCAATTGTCTTTGGCGCGTCCGGAAAACCGGAGATACCTGGTTCGATTCTACACGAAACCCGCTCTCTTCCGGGGTGAGGGAGGAGAGGACGCTGTGTAGCTTTGGATGCTGAGTGCGTCATAAAGCCCCAATAACACCGAAAACAACGCTTCCTCGGCCATTGCTGTTGCTTTCTGTTATGTTATCGTTTTACTGTAGCATGTCGTATGCCTGTTGTATTATACTTATTGTTGTATTAGAGCATTGCTGAAGCATGCCGTATGGCTGTAGCTTGATGTACTTCAGCCTCTTACTGCATTCGGGCTTCGGGCTATTACTGTAGCCATCGTCGAAGACTTACCCGCTGGCAGTCGAGACGGGCTGGGTCGCCGACGATCTGTGAGACTTAGCTGTCCGCGGCAGTATGCCAACGCAATAGAAAAGAATGGAAGCTTACTCTGGATTGCCAAGCCGAAGGAGATAAAGACGGACCACAGTTGTGAGGCTCTCCGTGGTGTAATTACGAGGCAACAAGATGCATTCTGCTTTTGAGAGGCCAGTTGCCATACAATGTTCTGTTTAGCTAAGGTGACCATAGAGGAGTGGCCAAATACAAGGATGTTTATCGAGCTTTTCAGCACGACGGGTCAGCGTCGAGCTCCGGTTTGGACCAGACGTTGAGCCTAGGTCCACCCCGCCAAATATTCACGAGCATGAAGTCCACTTTGCGCACAAAGGTATCCTTTGAGGTCAAAAAGGAACAAAGGACATGGAACGCTACAGCGTCTAAACCACGTTCGCGGACATAACGTTTTGGCCATAAAAACGTAGCTTATCGCATGCTCCCCGTGATGAAACCTTCACCTCTCAAAAGCAAACTCCGGCCCTGTGTATTGGCTCAGTGTGGCGGCCCAGTGTGGCGGCCCAGTGTGGCGGCCCAGTGTGGCGGCCCAGTGTGGCGGCCCAGTGTGGCGGCCTTGTGTAGGGCCTTCTGTGGCGGCCTTATGTGGGGCCTTCTGTGGCGAACTTGTGTGGGGCCTTGCGTGGTGGCCTTGTGTGGCTGGCCTTGTGTGGCGGCCTTGTGTGGCGGCCCCATGCGGCGGCCTTGTGTGGCGCCCCTGATGCGGCAATGGAGAATGTCTGTTACGCGTGCCTTGTGTGCGAAAGTGTTTCTACTCAAGCTAACGTTGGAAGATGATGGTCGAATAAAACCACCTACCACAAAAACTGAGTCTCCTTTCCCGAGTGCAGCAAAAGGTATCATGTGTCGGGATAGGAGCACGCCCACAGACCTTACAAGCTGAGAAAGCGTCCCCATCCCTACCACATTAATGTAATATACATCAGGACGGCGGTGCCTTGCTATGGTTCGCACCACAGTCGCTCAAAAAACCTTCGATACATGGCGGTATTCTCCTGTCAGTCATGGCGGGATCCTCCTGTCATGTCATGGCGGCATCCTCCTGCCAGTCATGGCTGGGGCCTCCTGTCCAGTCATGGTGGGGATCCTCCTGTCAGTCATGGTGGGGGCCTCCTGTCAGTCATGGCGGGATCCTCCTGTCAGCCATAGCGGGGGCCTCCTGCCAGTCATGGCCGTGTCCTCCTGCCAGCCATGGCCGGAGCCTCCTGCCAGTCATGGCCGTGTCCTCCTGCCAGGTCATGGCCGGAGCCTTCCTGTCAGTCATGGCGGGATCCTCCTGCCAGTCATGGCGGGGGCCTCCTGCCAGTCATGGCGGGATCCTCCTGTCAGCCATAGCGGGGGCCTCCTGTCAGCCATAGCGGGAGCCTCCTGCCAGTCATGGACGTGTCCTCCTGCCAGTCATGGCTGGAGCCTCCTGCCAGTCATGGGTGTGTCCTCCTGCCAGTCATGACCGGAGCCTCCTGTCAGTCATGGCGGGATCCTCCTGCCAGTCATGGCGGAGGCCTCCTGCCTGTCATGGCGGGATCCTCCTGTCAGTCATGGCGGGATCCCCCTGTCAGTCATGGCCGGAGCCTCCTGTCAGTCATGGCGGGATCCTCCCGCCAGTCGTGGCGGGGGCCAGCTGTCGTATCTTGGCTCTCCATCATACATCATCATGACGATACTAGAGTCCCCTCCCGTCCACGACAGGGGTGTCCCTCAGGAAACTGATGGTACCTCTTCTTGGTCGGAACCGGGGCCTCCTGCTGCCCAGCGGCCCGGAACCGGGGCTCCCAGCTGCCCAGCGTCTCGAGTGCGTTGACCGCTAATTGCCCTGGGTGTGGGCCTCCTCCCCGTCAAGAGAGCTGCATTGCTCCACATCTTGGCTCTCAACCACTCGCGACTCTTTAAATGTTGGGGTCTGCTTTCTCTCTCTCCACCTATCTATCTCCTGACAGGGGTATCATGCTCCACGACTCCCGACCATTCCCGATCCTGACATTCTGGCGTCCCCATTCCGCGATCCCGACCTCACTATGTTGGTAATGGCCGGGTAGTGTACTGCCTCGGTCATAGCCGGATAGTGTGCTGTCTTGGTCATGGCCGGGTAGTGCACTGCCTCGGTCATGGCCGGGTAGTGCACTGCCTCGGTCATGGCCGGGTAGTGTGCTGTTTCGGTCATGGCCGGGTAGTGTGCTGTCTCGGTTATGGCCACGCAGTGTACTGTCTTGGTCACGACTGGGTAGTGTACTGGTCATGGCCGGGTAGCGTACTGTCTCGGTTATGGCCGGGCAGTGCACTGCCTTGGTCACGGCTGGGTAGTGTACTGGTCATGGCCGGGTAGTGTGCTGGTACTATGGCGGCTAAGCTGCGCTTCTGGGGAAAGTGTAGTGGTTTAGCTGCGCGTCTGGAAAGGGTTTCGATTCCCCGCGGTGCCCGCCCTTTCTGCCAGGGTGAGAGAGGCGACGCCAATGGCTTCGGCAGCTGGGTGTGCTGTGAAGCCCCGATGACAGCGCCATGACTGGGCTCCAGGTCTTATCATTGCTGTTACCATCGCATGCACGGGGGGGGGGGGGGGCAAGCCACGTGTTGATGTCATTAGAATCAGGTCTCACAGTTTGATGGCGGCTGTTGACTTTACTCATCAGCGCTTTGATGGCCAACTCGCTGTGTTTTCTTGTTTATTTGCCTAGCTCTACTAATAGAACAGTCGTTAGTACTACTTCAGTCAGCCAACGAGAGCAAGTGATGATTCTGCTCCAAGCGTTGCATGTTAGATTCTGCCGTTTTGCTTAACGCATCGCAGGAACGCTATAACCAAATCAGTGGTACGATAGCCGAGGTAATTCCCTATGGCGCAGGGATGAAGGATTTAGGACATATTTTCTGGGGTTTGCCGCCGAAACCCTCCATAACACCACAGCTTCTGCTCCCAAATATTACACCGTTACCCCGCTGATATCTGAGACTACCAAATACTGATAGTATGTAGCTCACACATGTCATCGGGGGATTTTTAACGGGACTATAAAGACCCTGCTTGCAAACGAAGCTTGTCATTATCAACAGTCTACTGCAATTCGGAAGAACATTCGTCACACGTTGACATTTGACATCAGTTTCTCAGCGATCATAAAAAACGGTTCGGGCTTAAAAATGAAGCATGTAATGCCTTTCCACGATGATTATTGTTCATGGCAAGATCATTGACCGTCAATGTCTTCCGAAAGTCCAAAGGATGCATTTTGTTTCCAACAAGCACCCATCACCAAATGGCTAGGTCGATGGCGTACAATATTCAGTCCTGGGGAAGGGGCACATAGATCACATGTGATCATTGTCCGGCAAAGCAAGCAAGGCAATACTTTGCACAATTTCAGTTAGCCGTCGATAGTTCAGCGCATAAAATCTTCTTAGTTGTGCGACTGACTGGATGCTAGAAAGCAAAGCCAGCGGCAAGGCATTGAGCTAAATTGGCCAGGCATGGTGTCGGACCAAGTATACTGGACGCAGATAGGGAACTTGATTTTTTACAATCTGCTGACATGCGTTGGTTAACAAATCGTTCGAACAAGGTGTGGTGTGATCTCTAGATGTCACACATCAATGTGTGTTTTATTTATTCTACTATCATTCGCTGCACTCCTTATCTTCACTGCAAACTCGTCTCCGAAATACGACTCTAATCCCAATTTTCAGCAAAGTTGTGCGTGGTTTGGGGACTGATGGCGAAAATGTACTGAAATCTCATTTCCAGCTCATTTGGATGTTTATTCCGTATTAAGTGTTATAGGAGCTCGAAGGTACCGAACCACGTTATATATCACTAACCATGTAATAACCATGAGTCATATAACATCAAGTGATGCACGTTTTGTGAAAAAGTCATTCATAGTTATATCAATAGGCAAGTCATTAGAGCTATGGGCAGTATCGAACACCTCAGTTTAATAAATACAAAACCAGCGCCACTTTGAGCCGCAAAATACAGCAAAAAAAAAAGAATTGTTGAATCGTACATTTGCCGTCTTCAGTTTCTCAATGAAACAGCGTAGTCTAAGGCGTGCTGCTGATTTCTTCCTGTATCATAACCTTGAACTCCTGGCTAATATCTACCACAATATTACCGTGCTACAAGCTGCCACATCAGGCACCTCTGTGCTCGCATATAAAGCGTGTTCTGTAGCGCAAAACGAGCTTGGAACACGCCAGTGCGAGCAAATAAGACGACAGGCTTTATTAGCGTGCGCGTTCATGCTAATCGAACACTAGTCAAACATGCATCAATAGCAGTTAACAGCAAAGCATTGATCATAGCCGGCACGACAATTCGCCCGCAAATCTGCTGCAAGCCACAGCAGCTGCATCGCTCATCCAGCTAACTGTGCGCGTGAGGGACAGATTAGTCACAAGATGGCCATAGGCATTCGCCTGTCCGTTCCTGTTAGCGGCGTCACCCAGCGAGCAGGTGCCGACCGGAAGCAGGCGGCGTCGTACCTGGAGGGGAACCGGAGTGATGCGGTGAGCCCGACGCCGCGGCAGTCCTGACTCGACACCCCTGCGTCTGCCGTCTGCCGTCTGCCGTCTGCCCCCCCCCCCCTCCGACCCTCGGGCTGCTAAAATAGCGCTGTAGTCAGCACGGCGCGCCACGGCTGCGAAAGGCGCCGGCTCTTCTTGCACGCCGACGTCAGGGCAACACGGACGGCGAGCAGCCGCCGACCGCGTGCAACAAGGGCACAGTCTGGGTCGGCCGTCGGCGCCGCTGTTGTTATTGGCGAATGGCAGGCTGCAATTACTTACCTCATGGGCGGCGGGTGAATCCGTCGGCCGTAACGCTGCGCCTTGCGTCGGCCCACGCCCGGCGCCCAGGCCCTGACTCCGCCACTGGGCTTCGGCGACCCATCCATCCCGGCCGCAGGTGGGGTCAGGCCGACCACGAGCCGTCGACAGCCCGTCTCCAGGCGCCTGGCTGGAGGTCAGCGCCGTTGGCGGCGGCTCTGCGGCCCGGCCAAACCGCTGCCACGCTGAGGGAGTCACAGCCGCTGTACGGCGTGGTAAGCGGTAGCGGCAGCGGCTGCGGAAGAGGGTGTTGGAGGCGTAGTGACGCTTCTTTCAGATTCGGACGCCGACATGGGGTTAGCTGATAGCCGGTTGTAAACAAGGCGCGGTGTAGTGTACGCCCAGAGTAACGACCGTCCCCGTAGCTTCGTGCGCTAGTGGCAAAAGCTGCGCGTGTAATACGGAGTGCGAATGGTGCAGTGAAAGCTTGTTCGCATCTCATTCCATTCCATCCACCACCAAAATGGCTGCGACCAAAGTTGCGTTTCCGCGTGCGGTTCGTTTTTTCACATCCCCGGGCTGCAGCGGTCGCCCAATCATTCGCCCAGTCTTTCACGAAGGGCCCGGGCGTCAAGGGTGACGTCACGACCAATCAGCGTTCACGACTCCATGTATTTTGCCGGCGCCGCCCGCCGGTCGGTCGCTGGTTTGTTTGGCTAGTGTCTGGCATCTCTTGGGAGTCATGTACCACGCCCGATATCTCAGCTCCTCCACGCGCCAACGGGCCGGTGCTTATCATCATGCTGACGCCGCGATACCATGTGGCTCCGGGTGCAGAATGCTGCCGGTCAGGTACTGATTAGATTTGGGGGCACATTCCCCTGGACGGCTGACACGTCATCACCGAAAAAAGAGAGGTTCGGGGTGTGAGTAAGTACAGCTTCAGGGTAGGGTTAAGGTCACGTCGCAACGTCACGTCGTCACAAGGTCAAGTCACAGGGTCACGAGAGTATGATCCCGTTGTCGATGGGCTTTCATTAGTTTCAACTGGGTTTGTTTAATATTGGTCGAAGTCGCTCCATTTACTTTCAAGTTACATTTTCTCCCCTGCAAAAGATTTATTTCCATGTTTCGCATGTATGCATATATGTGATGCTTGCAACAACGAAGGGATAAAAGTGTAGGTAGCAGTCGCCACAAATAGCACGCATAAAACAATGATGAATGCATGTGTGTTACTGCAACCAGCATAAGAATACGTAGTCAGCATCAGGCTATAACTGCCGCTATAAAATCGACTTAATTCACTTCGCTTAAAGTCGTATAAATTGCGAAAAATATTGCTCGTGAAAATCAATGACGGATGCCAGCTTACTCCTGACAAAGTTGTATTGCGCCGTGGGCGTCTAATAGCGAGAAGGTTTTTGTAGTGATGTGTGTGTAAAATCCCAACAAAAAACATGAAAGCCCATCTGCTTGTTTAACTCAGGGACTGTCATCTCAGAAAGCCGATCGGCGACTTGATGAAGCCGGCTTAAAAACCATCTGTATGCGTGAGCCAGTACATGCTTGTGTAACGGCACCGCTGAGGTTTGAAAAGGACGGCCAGTGGCGGGCTCATTCTTCACAGACAAAGCAGTGTGGTGAAACACGGCATAGCTGCCGAACACATCGTGCACTGTCAGACAGCTTGCTGCGGCACGACCAGTAGTGCCAGCCTACTGCTACTATGTATTGCAGTCATCAGTATTCCTGGGTGGTGGCAAAGGCCTACCTGCATAGAATAGAATAGATTATCACATAGAATAGATTATCAGCGAAGCATAGAATAGATTATCAGCGAAGCCTACGCATGCGAGACAGGCATGACGTTTTTATTAGATAATGGTGCGAGCAAATGGGTTACATTCAGGTGCTTCGCTTACTACGGCAGCACATTTATGTTGTCATGGTGATTTAGCCTTGTGTTTTCTAAAGCACACAAATAGCACCATAACATATAAAGCACATTTTTATGCATGCGTTTGAATGCTTGGCCCTTAAGGCATACTAGGAGAAACTAGGTATCTAGGAAAGGCCAAGGGAACTGGGAGAATGGAAGCCTACATGGGCTGGGTAACCTCATAAACATTCCTCTATAATGGTTGGCGTGCTGGGCTGGGTGCAGTATTTGGGAAAATTACGACCCTGGTGCGATAGGGGCAAGATGCCCAAATGAAACTGGCTGGATATTTCACAAGGTGTATATTCCACTCATTACTACCAGCCGTGGTTTTCAGTCACAAAGTTTAAAATTCCCATCGGGGAAATTGTAAACCTAACATAAAGTTTCCTTTATCTTTGCCACAATTTTGAACGAAACCCTCAGAAATGCAACAAGATCAGCAACGGTTGGGTATGGCTAGTTGGGGAAGGCATTAGTTTTGGTATGACCACGACCCCATGTGGAGTGCGAACTGGGTGAAGAGGGTCCCGCAAAAGCCTTTACTTTTTAGCTGAGGCTGCCTGGATTCGACAATGCGCTGACGGTCAGCTGATGATACGCTGATAGCCAGCTGATAGTGCACGACAAACATTGGACGTTCCGACGATCAGCGGTCCATCCACTGAAATTCAGCTGATGATTTACCGATGTTCAGCTGATGGTGTACCGATGTTCAGCTGATGATGTACCGATGCTCAGCTGATGATGCACCGATGTTCAGCTGATGGTGTACCAAGGCCCACAGACGACGTGCTGAAGGTTGGCAGATGTACTAAAAGACGTTCTAATGCACATGTGCAACTGTGATGGCCTTGCAGAAACGCCATGTGCTGAACAGCGCTCAGCAGATGACAACCAGCGTATGGTGATACCGGTGATAGGATGCATGTAGGTGATGATAGGACTAACGGTGGGTATAGATGATGATGGGACTAACGGCAGGTGGCGTACTGTTGACCAGCATGCAACACATTGACGGTCGGTCAACAGCTGATCCCCTTCCCTCCAAGTAACGGCAAGTGGCGTACTGATGACCAGCGTGCAACACACTGACGATCCGTCAACAGCTGATCCTCCTTCCTCCAACTGACGTCGCGAGGACGGGCGTCAGCTGACGGTCCGATGGCAGGCCAGCTGACAGTCCGGTGGCAGGCCAGCTGGCCGTCCGATGGCAGGCCAGCTGACAGTCCGGTGGCAGGCCAGCTGACGGTCCGATGGCAGGCCAGCTGACGGTCCAATGGCAGGCCAGCTGACAGTCCGGTGGCAGGCCAGCTGACGGTCCGATGGCAGGCCAGCTGACGGTCCAATGGCAGGCCAACTGATGGTCCGATGGCAGGCCAGCTGACGGCCCGATGGCAGGCCAGCTGACGGTCCGATGGCAGGTCAGCGGAGACCGATCGAGGCGACGCGAGACGCGTCTCCTGGATGGACATCTCCCGCGTGTATCGCGTCTCCTGCGCGTCTGCCCGCCTGTCCCCACAGACAGCACCAGATGACCCAGACAGACAGATGTCCCCACAGACAGCACCAGATGACCGCACGATTACCGTTCCTAAGTGGACGCCGTCCGACCCCGCTCGCCAGCCGAGCTCGGCCGATTTCTGAACGCTGACCTGTGCAGCACGCACCCAAGCCCGCCGAAGATGCCGACATCCGCGCCGACATGCCGACACCCTGTCGTTCGCGCCGATATGCCGGCATGCTGACATCCTCACCGACATCCCGAAATCCCGACATTCACGCCGGCATCTCGACATCCGCGCCGAAGTCCCGAAATCCCGACACCCGTGCCGACATTCCGACTTGCCGACACCCGCTCCGACATCCCGACGTCCCGTCATCCGCGCCCCGATCTCACAGCTCCCACGCCGCTTCTGCAGTCCTCGGGTGACCTCGCCCAGGGCGCCGGCGGCCTGCGGCTGGACGGAACGTCGGTCTAACGCTCCCTCCTCAGTCGGTATGTTCCGGTCTGCGGGGCAGGGCCCACCGACGACAGCAGGTACCGGCCCCGTCGTCCCACTGGTGCTGACGTGAAGGGCGCCTGTCGCCTCGCCGAGACGTACCCCGGAACCAGCGCCGGCCGGAGGTTCAGCTGCCCCGCTGGCTGATGGATCTGCCGCTCCGCTGGCGCCAGCGTGGGCCGGTAGCTCTGCCGCTCCGCTGGCGCCAGTGTCGGCCGGTAGCTCTGCCGCTCCGCTGGCGCCAGCGTTGGCCGGTAGCTCTGCCGCTCCGCTGGCGCCAGTGTCGGCCGGTAGCTCTGCCGCTCCGCTGGCGCCAGCGTTGGCCGGTAGCTCTGCCGCTCCGCTGGCGCCAGCGTTGGCCGGTAGCTCTGCCGCTCTGTTGGCGCCAGCGTGGGCCAGTAGCTCTGCCGCTCCGCTGGCGCCAGCGTTGGCCGGTAGTTCTGCCGCCCTGCTGGGTTCGCAGCCGCTGAAGCCAACGCTGGCCGATAAGAGCTCCGCCGTCCACTCCGCGGGCAGAACAATGCCAGCGCCAGCACCAGCGCCAGTACCACCAACAGCAGCGT